GGTTAGGTTATCGGGTTTTGTTCAAGTGACCACCCTCTTTCGATCCCCCACCTCCACCCGCTTGAAAATAATTTTTTTATTGAATTTTATTTGAATTATAGTGTATGAAAATTGTCAAAATAATCAACTTTCAACCCCCATAACTTTTTATGGGGGTGAGACCGCCGCAAATTTTTTATGGGGTTTTACTCAGGTAACCACCTTCTTTTGATCCCCTCTACCCCCTTTCGATCCCCCTACCCCTACCCCTATCTAACCCCCATAATTTTTTATGGGGGTGAGACCGCCACGAACTTTTTATGGTACAGTAGTGGGGGAGACCTTCTAATTCGATCCCACCATCATCTAGACATTTACGAACTTATTCTATTTGTCATTTTAGTTAGCTTTCCTAAAATATCACTTCTGCCTTGCTTAAGTAAAGTTTAAATAATATTCATTAAACAAAAAGTATCACTGGTTTTACTAGTGAAATTACTGGGTCAAATAAGATGGGGCGGGGATTGTATAAGTACTTACTAATTAAAAAAACTATTTTACTACGTAGAAGTATATTTCTACACATATCAGAATAAATCAATAAAATGTTGAAAAGATTATGATTTTTTTAATTTTGGAATATGACTGAGCAACGTGTCTTGCGACCCTATTATTGGTAATAATGATGATTTTGACCAAAGACTAGTAGATCTTCTTCTGGAAACTATTAGTTATATTATATTACAACAAAATTGAAAAGGAAACGACCAATTAGCTACTACAACAACAAGATAAACTAATCGTTAAATTTCACAACATATTGTTGTTCTTGTCGGTTAAAATGATAACGTTAAATAAAAAGTACTCATAACTGTTCTTGTTAAATATTGTGTTTTCGACACGTGCAATTTGCGAAGAAAACATTACGTGTCGTGATCGTCCTTGTTCACGTGAATTTTGGTAAATGATCGTTCGCGATTTATCAAACGAAAAAAAAATACGTGAACTACACCACGACCCATACTGTATATCGTACCTATATCTTCGCATGCCAAACGCAGGCTCAATTCTAACTACTAGCCTCGTCTAATTGTATGTGAAGTCTGCCTAACTAATACTCTGTCTTTAGCACAAATACTCGCGATTTTGTCAACATTCTAATGCGTTTTAACAGAATCTTAGGTCACGAATACAAACGTACTTTTAGGCAACGTTCTACAGTTTCCAAATTCGTTATATAATCAAAATGTGACCATGTTTGGAGAAAAGCCACATGAACAAAGGCTCAAAATTTTGGATTGGCAAGTACATATGAAGACTACAATTTTTGTTAGAAATTTATAGTTGTTGTTACGTCATGCATTACAAAAGCTATAACTTCAGAGCAGAAGTTAAGAATTTTTAAAAAAGATGTACTTTTTACGGATTCTTGGAGAAGAATGAATCGACAGGTTGACTAATGACTCATTTTAGAGTTTCAGTTCTCAACAACCTTTGTACTGTAGTCAAAACAAAGTTTTCGGCTTGTAAAGGAAAAAACTGTTTTTAGCATTTTTTTGGACTAATAACATATTCGCTCAATATAACCGAAGTAACACACAATTGATAATGTAACTGTAGTACAGGCCTCCCAAACTTTAGTTAGTCAGCACTCCCTTTGTGAAAAGAATTAAAAGAACCAATTTATTGGAATTGACTGCGATACAAGGTTCATATATAGGTGTAAATTCATTATAATTACTGATGCGATTTGCTGAAAACTACATCATCATAAGGTTGTCAGTTCTAAGACTGGTTGGACACGCACCTCCACTGTTTCCTATCATAAGCTAATCTTCGCATTTTCCTAAAACTAGAACAATCGACATCCTTAACTATTTGCAAACAGTAATCTAATCTAGATCTACCTCTACTCTTGTTTCTACCTCTAATATGTCTGACTAGACCTTCATGCCTGAGAAGGTGTCCTACCAACCGATCTCACCTACTTCCTATTGACTTCCATAGTCCTCTGTTCTCCTATTCTTTCTAATATCTCTTCATTTGTAACCTTCTCAATCCATGATATCCTCATCATTGGCCTATAACAACACATTTCGAACTTCATTTTTAACCTTTTCTTTTCCGTAGCGCCCACTGTCCATGTTTCGTAACCCTACAGCGCCGCGCTCCAACATACCCCTTTAACAATCTTTTCCGAATTTCTAAATTAACCGTTCACGGGGATAGAAGTGACTTCTTTTTAATGAAGGCGACCCCTGCGATATCCTCTGCTTTATATCCTTACTACTCCTTTCGTCCTGACTTATCTGATTTCCCAGATACCGAAAATCAGCCATTTCTTCGCCTCTGTGCAGTCGTGAGATAAAAAATTATCCGGAGACCACTCGGAAGTTGCGTTTCTGAACTCCCGTTCTACTAGAATGTTTTAAATAAAACTAGTAGCGAATTTTATTCAATATGTTTAATGAGAAGGTTTCTTACATACTAACTAACAAAATTAAATTTACTTAAAAATTAGAGAACAACTAAGAAAGGGGGTGAATGTCTAAATGAAAGATATTATGGTGGTGGATAAATATAGGAATTTCCGTCATATACGAGAGGGTGTTGAGTATAACCAGATATAGAAAAGTTCTGAAAATAGGTATGAAAGAGTTAACAATGAGCCAGGTACTAGTGACAGAAAAACCTCATTTATGCTACCAGGAATTATTGAATTCATCACGTACATTTTGTCTGTATGACCTAAAATGTTTGAAAAAATGTTATAAAGCTGAATTTGACAAAGGAACAAAGAAATTTGAAATGTAATGAAAGTAATTAACAATACTAAATCTAACTAACCGGAAAAGTTTTCGAATTATTAATAAAAATTAATAAAATAATTGTAAAAAATACAGATAATTATTAGCACTTAACAGCCCCCTATTTTCTTATTCGCTCTTTCGTTTCCTTTTCTTTTCCTTGCATACCAGTATTTTTGTTTTACTCTTATTTATTTTCATACAGTACTGTTTTCTCAATACCACTTCCATTTTATTTAAAGCTATCTCTAACTCCTCCTTGCTGGATGTTAATACTGCTATATCATCTGCAAATCTAAGCATACTAATCTTTTGCCCCTGTATATCTATCCCTACAGTTGTACTCGCTAATGATGTTAATCGCGTCTTCGATTAAAAAGTAGAGGTGACAGTGTGCATCCTTGTCTGACTCCCTTCCTAATGTTTACTTCTCTAGGAAAACTTATGAATAACATTTATTCCATTTAATATTAACGCTTCCATGACATCAATATATGTATACATATACCTAAATGTATTAATTCATTGAAATACGGCTAATCGCAAGTTGGTAATATTTATGTGCATCAGGGCAATTTATATCTCTGTTTATTTATTAAATGAAATACATAACATTCTAAGTTTCATTATCGTAATAAGACTCCAATATAAAAGGAAACGAAGCAGTTGGTATATGTTTCAGTTGAAGCAGATACTTCAAACAAATAATTCAATAAAATATAACAGAAATGAACTCTTTCACAGTGTGTTTTTTTGTTTTATGTAAGTATATTTACATAAGTATTATAAATTTACCGAAAACTTGTTTCATGAACGCCAAAAACTGGTGTGGAATAAAAATTGATATAGTTTCGATACTAATTAACATCAAACGAACACGTGATTATTAATTGCGACTTAAAGTAATCGTTGTTTACAATTGTATTAAGATATAATGGTTCATTTGCCATAATTCTCACTTGAATGTTAAATTACCGATCTTTAAAATAAAACTAGGCTGTTTTTAAAGTAATACACATTCGTAGTAAATCGAAATCTTTTTGCGTAATCACTTAACATAATAATTAATTTTCAACTTTAGTAACTACACATGGCGTTCTTATGGACTCTTCCGATTCATCAGAATCTGCAGTAGAATCTTTTAAAACGGAATTTTGGGAAAATGCCCAACAACTTGAAAAACAAGTAGACGATATGGTGGAGGGTATTTGCAAAACTAAAACTGGGGGAAAAGCCGCATTTAAAAAGTTTGTGGTAAGTTTTAATGTAGTAATCGCTTTCTTTATTGCATGCAGTTTAACAAACAAACCTTGATGAGCAAAAGTACAATACCGCAACATGATTGTATATTTGGAGTGATAAGCATTAAGGAAGTTACGTGATAGTAGTCAATTTTAATTTATTTACTTAACCTTTTATGTCGTAAAGTGCTTTTATTACGCTAATCTCGGACGGCTGTACTGATTTATTTATCACATCTGACAGACAGACACGGGAATGATCCTATAAGGATTCCGTTTTTTTATTCGGACGTACCTTCTAACCTGAGAACCAAAATGTTATAATACATTCAAACTGCACATGTAAATTTGTACGCACAATATTTTTTTGTCGAAAGATTTACCTCTTATAAATTTTCCTGCAACCTATAGTAAAGAACTATAGGGTTATTCGGAAAGTCAATTCGTTTTTTTTTTGTGGAAATGAAAGACAGTTTTCGTATAATAAACAAATACCGTTCTGGTCCAACACCTTTTGCCATCTTTCTGGTAGTAGAGCATAATTCCACTTTTCATTCCATTTTTCTTAATCCTGGCTATAATGACTATAATATTGACATTATATATTATGTTTGAGGAAATCAAGAAACAGATAATTGATAATTTTTTCAAAAGATAATGTGATACTGTAGAAGTCTCAAAATTTTAATAGTTTAACATAATAAAAATTAATTCGCAATGTTTTACAAATATATTTAACGTTTGAGACAACAAAAATATTAGAATTCATGTGAATCGTTAGATTGGCCGTAATATAACGTTTGTCGGTTACTTTAGTCTTTTCAATATTTCAATTCAATTCATAGTAAAGGTCTAGATGATGGCCCCTTAGGGGGGAAGGGATGGGGAGACCGAAAGAGGAGGTCTGCCCCAGCACTGTACCATAAAAAGTTAGTGGCGGTCTCACCCTCATAAAAAGTTATAGGGGTTTACAGTTAATAAATATGCCAATTTTTATACATTTCAGGCATGTAAATATTTATATAGTCATTCTTAAACAATATTCAAATGTAAAACTAATTCGAAAATACATAAAAATATTTAGAAAGTTATATAAAACATTATTTAAATATCTTTATCAATAGGGTAGGTTAGGTTAGGTTATCGGGTTTTGTTCAAGTAACCACCCTCTTTCGATCTCCCACTTCCATCCGCTTGAAAATATTTTGTTTTATCGAATTTAATTTGAATTATAGTGTATGAAAATTGTCAAAATAATCAACTTTCAACGCCGCAAATTTTTTATGGGGTTTTACTCAGGTGACCACCCTCTTTCGACCCCCCTTACCCTTTTTCGATTCCCCCTACCACCACCCCCATCTAACCCCCATAACTTTTTATGGGGGTGAGACCGCCATGAACTTTTTATGGCACAGTGGTGGAGGAGAGCCCCTCTTTCGATCCCACCCACCTCAACCCCTTCGGGGGTGGGGGCCATCGTTTAGACAGTTACCCAATTCATCTTTATAACGACTGACTACTTTTTCTGTTAGCAAACCCGTGAAGAACTTTCAACATGTCTTCAAAACGTCGCCGCAGAAAAATTTGAACTTCCTTCTCAAGTATGCAGACAAAAGCGACCACACATACGATCCTGTTTGAATGCTGCAGTTCCCGGATTGATCAAGTGTTTCGATGACGACACTAAATGGTTCATAAGAGACTTTGCAATTGGAAGTATTAATTCCGTTTTCGACTTCATGTGTGAGGACATTTTTGTATCACTTCAAGGTAAAATTTGAAATTTACACGATTATAAACATTAAAAAATTTATTCTAATACTTTTTCAGAACTTATGAATTTAGACGGATTTGATTGTATGGCAAACATGATCAAAAATGAAGTTGCTTTTGATAATTCTACAGACAGGTGCCTACTAAATCTGCTTTCTCCTGAGAACGAATACCTCAACAATCCTTCAAAGCCTTTATTTTGCGAGTAAGTATTTTGTGATCATTTACTTGTAGTATAAAAATGTTTTAAAAATTATTATTCGATTCCCTAGTCCAATTAGATAAACATACGTACTAACACATCATTCCAATGAAAGTATTTAGAAAACCAATAGTTATTTTTTCGAGATTGCAATAAAAATGAAAAAACTGTCAATTTTTTAATCTGATAGTTTAATATTTTTCGATAATTTCATTAGGTACATCGTGTCAATGTACGAAACAAAATTAAACTTTAGTCTTTTATAAATAAATCAATGTTCAACGTACTATGTTTTAGAATACACTAGATAGCTGAAACCTCAAAGCTAAAACAAGACAATAAAATGTCCTAAGACATCTTTGGGATAAAGTTACCTTCCTCAGCGACTGAACACATTTAATGTCTTGTTTGGATTTGAGCTATTTAATGTGTTCTATAACACCGTCATATTTTCCAGTCTTTTAAATAAATAATTTGCTTTCGGTATTTTTACCGTATCTGCCTTTTTATTAGTATAATATGACAAGTATTTTTTCCTTAGTGGATTGAGGACAGTCAAGTCATGCTTTGGCAAAGCAATTCAGGAACAATGTCCTACAAATAATGGGATCCTTCATATAAACCAAGGTTTCATGGATGCCTTACTAAAATTCTGTGTATAATTTATTTTTTTTCACAATAAATATGTCGCCCACTGACGTAGAATTGCATGTATTCTAGAGAGAACAGTTCGATTTTATATGCATTTGTATTATTTAACTAATTGTAAGTGTATAGAAAAAAATGCTCAGAAAAGCATTACAACAATAAACATATAGACCAATATTTGTTTTTAACATTTTATGACGTAATCTGTATTTTTGATTAGATTTAAATATTACTTTTTTGATAAGAACAGAATAAGTCCTTGATGGTTAGCAATTTATCAAATCTACCCTACGTGGATCGCAATTTTGGTCTCATCGGCACACCACGGGCAGTCTCGATAAATCACTGCTTCTATAACATAAACACTTAAAGGTAAGCTATGTCGTCGTCGATTTTCAGTTGGATAAACAGATACCTTAATAACGCCCTTGTCTAACTTATGAAATACTTCAGTTAGTAGTAGATATCAGTAGTTACTGCCGTAACTAGATATTATTTTCTTGGTACAAACATTTCTTCGAAGTAATAAAACTACTTTTTATTAAAAGAACTACCTACATGTTTCGACCAAGCTTTTCGAGGAAGAATGTTGTTCTGAGAATGGCATTTTTACTTTTTCAGACATTATATGTTCTTACCATATACTCCGCCAAATGTTTTCATGAATTTCTTATTATTATTCTTATCAAAAAGAATGGAGAATAAATTCCAATTTTTCCTATTTCGAAAAACAATAAAATGTAAAAGGCGGTTCTGTATTTATATTCCTAAGACATGTAGATACGCTAATTTTATTGTATTTGAGTAAATATACGGACAAGAATATATTGATCTTCTAATGAGAGAGTTTTCTTTCTTTAACGTAGAAAGTTTTCATGATGAATCGACTGTACATTTGTAGAACAAAGTGGAGTATGTAAATGATACACACGGACTGTAATAAATTCCATTGAAAATAAGGTTGGCACTCTACATTCAGTAAATTCAAATGCAAGAAAGATCAAGGGTGAAGTTCCAGAACTTTTCCAATAGAATAAGTTAAATCGATGTCCCTTTATTGGACCAGGGGATGAGCCTGATTCTTTGAAACGTGCTGATATGAGTCACTTTTTATTCTTCGTTTGTCGATCCAGATTTATCTTTGGTCTTCTCGTTTCCCTTTGTTCCAGGGAATAGTGGAGCTATTTTATCCGGCCAGCGAAATATGGTTGATACGAATGGTTTTCCATTATTTTCATTCATCTATTGTATTTTGTCTCCGCTGATATATATTGCGTTTGCGTTTTACATTATGTAGCAGTTGTAAGAAAGCGTATCTGATGGATTGTCACCAGAAAGGCTTCCAATACAAAAAATGATGTACTATTTAGATATTTACAATTTCAACAGAACGGATACATTACTGATTGTGAGACACTGAAAAAATTGGACAAAACGATTTACTTTATATTATTAAAGGCAAAATAATTAAATTTAATTATTATAAATATAATTTTCATTCCACAATATCCTAAAATACCAATAAATAAACCAGACGGTAGAGCAGGCAGTGTTTCTCCACGTTGACAATTTTCTTTTGAAATTTAGGTACCAGTCAGAAAGGAAGCCAGCGTGGCAAGTGGAAACCGTCGACTTTTTGTAACCGAAATATTGAGAATCTTTTAACAACTTTATGAAACATTTTCGGAAACAAATAACTGCAACACTAAAGCTCCCTACTGTTTTTCCGCTTTATCATCGATCTTAAGATCTTTTAATAATGATTTCTACTAGCTGACTTTTGTTCCTGATATCACCAGAATGAGTTTTTGTTTATGATATTGGTTGTTGCTACAATTAAAAATTTATTAGGTATACGATATTGGGTGCATTACAATTTGGACACCTCTTTATTGGATTATTTGTGAATAAGTGCCCGTGTGTGTTTCATAGATGCAACCGATTTTGAGTCTTATTATTACATATCAGGTTTTCCAACCGCTTGTAGAGATGGTATTTTCCAGTACATAGTGTCTGATTAGGATAATCAGGCTTTTAAATATTTCCAGATGTAATTCCATTTGGCCCATAAAAACAATTTACCAGGGGGAATAGTTTGTACCTACTGACAATCGATTTGGTACAGTGTAGAGACTTACGCTTCGGCTGCTATCTTGGAAAGCACACTTTTGTGTTTATTCCGATACCGCCAGGTCTCATAAAAAATACCAGATAATGAATTATATAAAGTAAAAGAATTGATTTTCCGTTTCTATTTAAAACATTTTTCAATTAAGTAATATTTTAAGTGAGATGCAAAGAGGGGATGTTAAGGGAAAGTGTCCTGTCGCTTTTTCTTTTTTTTAAGAAACAAGAAAAAACCCATTCCATTGCCTTTCAATCAAGACTTATTCGGCGGTAAAACTAACAGGCAGACGTTGTCAAACTCAAAACCCGCAGCCGTCTGGACGCGCCTACACCATTTTTTAGATTATGCCTTGTAGCTCGCTTCATGAATTCTTTCTCTGATATTTTCTTCTAGTACGTAAAAATAATCTAACAAAATAGTAATTCGATGTGATCGCATCTTTTGGAGTAAACTGACGAATAAATAATGGAAAAAAGATAAGCTTTGATTGGATTTTTTGGGGTGTCCACTTTGTAAGAGTATTTCCGGCTGTCTCGTCACGCTGAACACAGTTCATCCTGAAATCGCAACTGGTATATATGTACCTACACATTTATTTAACGACAAGAGAGAGACATTCATTGCATGCTAAAATTTTATAGGCTCAATCATAACGGGGAGTTCTTAATGAGAAACCGGATTAAGACAAGTCCCTAAAAAAATACAGCAGCTGCTCTTTCAGTATTTAGGGTGGCAAGGATCACGGGGATCGGTATGGAACTCTGAAACCAGCACATTACAATATCCTGAGCACAATGTACCAAAAAGTAAAGAACGTACAAAAGTCCTCCATTTAGATGGACTACCTCAAGGGCTGTGCAATAAGGGAAGATGAGATATTTGTCGAGTTGGAGCGTGAAATGTTAGAGCCATTAGAAAATTTAATATCTAGCTGAAGTGTATAGGCTAGAATTAGATACAGAATTAATGGAGTCCGTTGACCATAAGCTGAAGACTTCTGGAGTGGAAACTTCAAAATAATACATACAGGTAAAAGGTAATTCGATGATAAGAATTGTAATTTATGAGAAAGCAGGGCAGAGTGTAAAGTTATTTACAGAAAAGATATAGGACGAAATCGGTAAAACCCAGTAATGGTGCAAATCCATATGTTTAGGTCATCTTACAGTAATGAAGCCGTTGATGCAAAATATGCAGATAACTTAAGTTTAGTGCAAGCACAGTTGTAGACTTCAACGAAGTAATAGGTGCAAGTGAAAACGATGTAACAGGTTGTTTTGGATTATGCAACACAAATGATAGGGGAGATAGACTGACAGAATTTTGCCATAAGCATAACTTAACCATCGCGAACACTTTATTAGGGCAGCGCCTTAGAGGGCGGTATACGTGGAAGATGCGAGGTGATTTAGAGAGATATCAGTTACATTACTTTCTTTTTAGACAAAAATTTAGGAGGACTGTAGGAGTTATCCAGGAGCAGATATAGATAGCGATCGAAACCTAGTAGTTACGAAGACTTATAAAAACTGAAACATAAGCCCTGATAGGCGCGGTAAAAGGACCTACAAAATACTACAAGAGGCAGAAGAAACCAAGGACAAGGACATAAAGATTAGATTCACTTAGGTTGGAGGTGCGTGTCTAACCAATCTTTGAACCGATATAGGAATTTGTAACTACAAATTACCACAAAACCTTTAACATACAAATATTAGGTCATAGAAAATACTACAAACGGCACAGTGAACGCCACCTGTAGCACGATGCTACATTTTCTGAAACGCACTGTTAAGACAGCAGGTAAAAGTTGGTCTCTGTTCTGTCGGAGCTGCCTGCGATCCGCGTCTGGCAGTTTTGATAGAATACAGTCCACTTCGAATTATTTTATTAGGTCGTAGAGATAGAATATGGTAGTTACTGTGACTAAATGCCCGCTGACTCAATCATCAGACTATGATCTCGTAAAATACTCTTAGATACTACTACCCTACTTTTCTCACATAAGTAAAACCCGTACAAACACATTCAAAATATGGTCGAAATATTTTAAAGTAATCTCAACCTAAAATTGTCTTTATCATACCATACAATCATTTTAAAAACGATCCTATTAAAGGAAGAGAAAAGACAGATGAAAACAATTATTCAATTATTTACCGCCACATATCCAGATGATCGATTGCTCTTCAGTTATAAATGGTGGCAATGCTTTCACGAGAGTCCAAGTTAAAAGTTCGACTACATCTCAGTTACGTTAAACAGCAACCACGCCACGATGAGCCTCATTTATGAAGAGATTTATCTAGTTTTGTTGTACATGACAAACGCGCATTTATTTGAGCCTCTCGCTGTGTTGACAAATGACTGTTTTATGCCATTGCTTTTAAAAGTCTCGCTTCTCTAAAACATATGGACGTCAAAGTGACTTTTTAAAGCCCTTTTATCAACAAAATCCACTTACAGACATAAAGGATGTATCTGTCATTAATTTTGAAATTGTTCTCATCTTATATGTAAACTAAAAAAAAATATTCCACAGAAATCAATTAAGCGCAGCACAAGCCCATACTTTTAATGACCACTTAAGGTAGATAATGCCATCAAATGTAAATTAAATAGTTAAATTTGATAATGCAATAATGAGAAATACATTCAGCAGATTAAGAAAATACTATTTTATTTAATATCTTAAATATTTTACATTTATTTTTCAACACTTTTTTATCAAGCATGTCTCTGACCATTATTTGTCTCTGAATTCACTAATTTATCGGGCATATCACCACATTATCTGATGACAATTGTTTACTACGCAAGAATTCTTTTAGTTTTGGAAACAGTCGGTAATCGCTAGGGAAAACATCTGGCGAATACAGCGGATGTTTAACTAATTTAGAGCCCGCCTTAGCTATTGTAGCTCATGCAATAGTGGACGTTTGACTGGTTGCTTTATCCTGGTGCAAGAAAGCATCTATACTTAACTTCCTCAACGTTTTTCTTTTTATCAGCTAGTGCAATTAAAATGGCATAATAAGCACTTGTAATT